GATTGCTCTATAGTGATCAATTTGTATGAATGAGCGCGACTGCTCTATTCAATTGAGATAGATCGATGAGGATGGCTATACCTCCTCAGGAAAGCAAAATCCCTCGGGAAAATACATGTTTTTCGCATGAAGAGATCCAGCTGGACCGAATGACGCAAAAAATTTTATATGTTACTGGGCAAACTTGAGCATACGGTAGCCTTGAAGGCAGCACCCGTGAATATCTCCGAGAAACACAGTTCATTTGATGACTCTGGTTGTGACCATTCAAAAATTTTTGTGAGCTTTGTCTGCTTTTATCAGAAGGTTAACAAGTCAGTCGCTTATACTGATAAGACAGAAGAACAATGATTGAACGACTAATGCCTGAGACACTTTACAACTATCGAAATCAGGCAGGATAGAATCATTGATAACCTACACAACTTCGCCACCGGCAAGGAAACCGGTCAGCACTCTCCATGCGGTCATTGTCCACAGTGAACCCGCAAACGAGCTCACTGCACCGAAAATGATTGCAGTTGTACTACTGATCAAGAGCACCTGAAAAAGCGATATATTTTATCGAAACATGCAGATCAAACTCACTCATTCAAAACATCAATTGATTGAGATATCCTCTCATTAAAACGAAATTTCGCTGGATCTCGATCACTACAGCAAAACCAATGAACTAATTTCTACAATTGTATTTCTCACAAGTTTATTGCTAAACTTGCTGGAGAATCAGATCATTCAATGAAATTATTAACACATGCTTCTACGAAACGTGCTGATAATTCACTGATTTCTGATGGTTGCTTAATGGAAAACAAACGTAAAACAATGTTAATCAACTCCTTCTACAGTTTACCCTATTATTATCCTAAGTTATCAGATCACATTATCGACCCAACAAACAGCATGACAGGTAAAAAGAAGAAAATTAATAAGATTTACAGTCCGACGGCCATACGAGTCGCTCATTTGTCCGAAGAAAATTGTACCGAACAAGATACCAAGCATTTGAATTGAAATACTCGTCTTCACTGCCTTACCTTCGCTACACAAATAGTCGAACTGAAATTCTCACTCGTTAATCATTTTGAGCAGGATGAATTTAAATCTAAAGACGAAGACCATCATCAAGCTCTTCCGAACGACTGGAAGAAATATTTGGGTGTTGAACGATCACTTTACTCATAATAATGGATTTTATCATCAATTTTCATGAGTAATCCACAACTGCGTGCCGGTGAATGTGGCC